TAAATGATTTCTGTGGAAATATCTTACTTCCTTAACATAAATGTTAAACTTTTGTGGAAAGACATTGCCGTGTTGCTCCCTCGTTGAATAAACTGCATATATGCCTTGGACATGTTATTGCTCCCAGTGAAGCACTTAATGTATTTGAAATAAGTTTTCAGTTTAAAGTTATAAGTCCTATTTTTTATTATATACAAGGTTTAAATAATCCACATTCGATTTTTAAGCTACGGTGGAGAATTTTCCTTTTTCTCCCCCAGTTATATGTGTTTTCTGATTGAAAATGTAAAGCTAGCTTGCAGTCTTCCTTGTTAACTTTAGCTATTTTCTTCATACAACTCAATAAGAAACATCTGTAAGTTAAGTGTTACGACTCCTTATAAGTTATGTATTTGCCATAAATTGGGGCACAGTATTAATCTTTTAAGTTGTTCAGTTTTCACCTTAGTGGTTGATATTAACTGACCCCATATTTATTGGGAATAACACTTAGTTCGTTTTTGTTGGTTGTATATGCTAAAAAGAAATTGCTTTTCTGGTAGAATTTGCAAGTGACGAGGTATCTCAAGAGAGTATCCCAAAGCAAGATGTAACAAACAAAAGCCAGGATACAATCACCCTGCATTCTGTAAGTGAAATAAGAGTTGGACAATAATAACTTAAAGAATTGAATGTCTATTTCTTTCTCTATTTATTTACTAGGGTGTGGGTGTTGGTGTGGTGTGCGTGTGGGTTTGGGGGTCAGGAGCCTAGAAATCATTGAAGGTTGATCTTGATGCTCCACTGCTCCAGAATCTAAAAGAAAACAACTCCTTGTAACTAAGATGAACACAGAATGCGTACTAGTCAAATATTGAAATATAAATCTTATAACGCTTTGTGACTTGCTTCTTTTTCGGATTTGTAGATTAATGTTAGTATTGTTAATATTCTTGTTTTACATGTGAAGGTTTTATTTTTTATAAGGAAAAAGCTCCACTTCAATAAATTAGAGAGCAAGACACCAAAAGACGAAATTTTGCAAAGAGAACTAATATCAAGTAGGATAAAGTAACCATCTCGCTGTTCAAGCTTTCATTTTCAAATTTCACATTCATTGATCTACATTGAAGAAACTTCTCTCTCTTTATGGGGTTCGTAATGTTGTGGATAATATAGTTTTGTATCAGGAAACTCGAGAAGCAGAACGTAACAATGAAAGAGAAAATGGAAAAAATGCCCAAATTCTGTATGTGAAATTCCAACTCTTCATAAATCATGTTGTCCCAAAGAGTGATTGTTTTTGCCATTTAGATTCAATTATTAAGAAGCGAGGACTTGAAGAGGATATAATGCATAGAGTTAGAGCAGGCTGAATGATGTGAAGAAGTGCTACAGGCATTTTATATGATATATCCCTGTGTTAAGGTTAAAACGTGTGTTCTACTGTACAATTATTAGACATGCTTCCTTTATAAAGTTTTTCGTTGAGCTGTTAAATGACAAAATATTCGTAAGATGAGCATATCAGAAATGTGGATATTAAAATGGGTTTGTGGCCGTATATAATGGATAAAATAAGAATGAATATATGCCAGTAAGTGGAGGTGCCACCTACTGATAAATTTAGAGAATCACGATTTAGGCGACTGTGTTAGGACTGAACAGAAGGGAATTTATGCAGTCAATTCAAAATTTACTGTGAGCAAATATGCTGCAGCATACTTCCAGGAGATTCTCGGCAAGCTGAATGCTGTAGCTGAAAGCAAGATAGAATAAACAAGTCCATCATTCCAAATACTTCAACCTCTGCAAGTGTATAGATTGTGCTTCTAGAATTCAAGATTAAGAGTATGTTTGGCTAAGCTTAAAATAAGATTAATAATAGGAAATGTGAAGCAACTCTTTGTTTTCAAACATATTTGAATAATATACTTTTTATCTCATTTACTTTTTTGGAACTAACTCTTAAATTACTGTCAAAATAATTAACTTATTTTTAACTTTAACCTATAATTTATTTAATTTAAAATTTACTTATTTGCTTAAAGTAAACTTTTCAAGCTCAGCCAAATATGCTCTTAAGAGTTATTTTTCATCCCAGGTGTTGCTTCAGATTTATTAGAGACTTGATCTCTCTTATAACTTATACCTCCTACTATTGGTCCAAAAGTATGAATAATGTCATTATTAATACTTCCTTTCTCAGAAAACTGAAAACAAATTCAGAAGTAAAGTTCGAAATCATAAAGTGGTTCAGAAACGCCCCCGGCCAAGGGATTTGAACCCTGTAAACTTGGTAATGCTTTTATCCTATTTTATCCTGAAGTTAATTCTTCCTTTTCCCAGAATTTAATCTCACGAGAATTGTGATTTTTGTTTGGACAGCGTGCCCCTTTTAACAAGAGATCTTCAGCACAGAAGGGAATGCAGAAAAATGCAAAACCAAGTAAGCTCGAAATTGTGAGTACACATGAGCTGTTGGTACATATTCTTCGTTAGTGATGCAGTATATCCAAATCTAAACTGATCTACAATTTCAACGTTAATTATATCAGGCAAATAATTCAGTAGAAAGATCTAATGAGCTGCTGAGTGAACGAAGGATAAAAGTTATGCAAACACTCGGTTTGATCGCCCCTTCTGGGTCTCCATTCCATTTAAAATCATGGACACATTTCTCTCACATGGAGTATCTATAATGCCCCTTCTCTCATTTTCCCCAGGCATGTTTACACATTAACTAATATGCTTTATCAAAACTAGAATTGTCTTCTACCTTTTTGCTATGTATTACTAAATAGGAAGATGGTGGAGTGGAAATTTGTGTTCTTGCAAACTATGATGGGCTATCTGATAAATTGATGAGGTAAAAATGCTTCCTTCATGTAGCTCGTGTAAAATCTCGTAATCTTTGGATAGGAATTTTAATCCGAACTTGTGATTTCATATCTATATTAGATTTCTTTATCAATGAGGAATATGAAGTCACTTGTTATATTGGTAACTTGATGTACTAATATTTTCCATGCATCTCATTTGACTGGGTGGCAACGTAAATTGTCTTGTCCATATTTGCATATGATGGAACTTGTTAGCGACAAAATATGAATAATGAAATGCATTCCCTCTAATAGCTTAAGTTTTAAGACTGTGATTCAACAATATGAATTATTGTGCGAAATTCTGTCATTAGGGAACAAAAACATAAAAAAATAAAAAATGAAATATATAGCTATTGGCAATGTCGTTTGCAGGGACGGATTTTGGGGGGGGGGGGGGGGGGG